AGTGTTGATGTGGACAACCGCTTTCATTACTGCGGTGGCGGTATGTCGACTTAAGTCAATTTAATTTTGTAGTGTAGACAACCCCTTAGAGAACCATGACCAAAAAGCAGCCTGAGCTTTTTTTAAAACACAAACTTGTATTTAGATATCATGTTATAAAACAGTGATTCTTACCAGATAAAGCTGGTTGTTTGGGAATGTTGTGTTATACAATTACATTATTATTGAAGGAACAGAATACTGTAGATGTTACGTATTTGATTTTTAATCAGGTGTGACGATGCGGTTCTGGCGGAACCCAACTGAGAGTGCCAACTCGGGACAAATTGCTCAAACAGGGCAGTTACAGCCCAAGGCTGGGGTTTTTTCCACCTCTAAGGCAAACCAAACCAGCGGGACTAGGAGGACTTCGGTCTCACCCCACTGGCTACCCACAAGTCTCACAAGCAATCTCCTAGGACACTCCAGTTTCCCAGTATTACCACCAGTGCCACTCGTTATGGGGACAAATGATTATGAAAACCAATACCCCAGTAAAAGAAAAAGGTTCTCCTGATCCCAAAGGACCAAGCCCCAGTCCCAGGTCAATATACAAATCAGATCTTACCCACAAATCACGCTGTTGCCAATCCTTTAGAATCTAAAATCTAAAGGTTTATTCATAAAAGGAAAAAGATAGAGATGAGAGCTAGAATTGGTTAAATAGAATCAATTACATACAGTAATGGCAAAGTTCTTGGTTCAGGCTTGCAGCAGCGATAGAATAAACTGCAGGTTCAAATCAAGTCTCTGGAATACATCCCCCGCTGGGATGGGTCCTCAGTCCTTTGTTCAAAGCTTCAGCTTGTAGCAAAGTTCCTCCAGAGGTATGAAGCAGGATTGAAGACAAGATGGAGATGAGGCATCAGCCTTATATAGTCTTTTTCAGGTGTAAGAACACCTCTTTGTTCTTACTGTGGAAAATTACAGCAAAATGGAGCCTGGAGTCACATGGGCCAGTCCCTGCATACTTTGCTGAGTCTCAAGGCATATTTGCCTTCTCTCAATGGGTCCATTGTATAGCTGATGGTCCTTAATGGGCCATCAAGCAGGCTAGGCAGAGCTAACACCAGCTTGTCTGGGATGTCACCCAGCAGCATAGCATAAGTTTGAAATACAGATGGTATAGAGCCAATATTCATAACTTCAACTACAAAATTGATACACACATATAGACAGCATAATCATAACCAGTAAACCATAACCTTGTCTAAGACACCCCATTTGACCCCCTTTATACAAGATTTTGGTGCCACTACAGGACCTTGGTTGCAACAATGATCTATATGGTCCCAGATTATATCAATAACGTCACATCAGGTATTTGACAGAGGTTCACAAAATGTACCCAAATATAATTCAAGTTGACTTGTGGATGAAAACTGCCATGGAAACTGAAAGTCTGTAAGTAAAGGAAAATGAAATAGCAATATATTGACATTGAGGAAGTTGTCTAGTGCAGTGGTTCTCAAACTAGGGCCGGCGCTTGTTCGGGGAAAGCCTCTGGCGGGCCGAACCGGTTTGTTTACCTGCCGCATCCACAGGTTCGGCCGATCGCGGCTCCCACTGGCCGTGGTTCCCCACTCCAGGCCAATGGGGGCTGCAGGAAAGGCGGCCAGCACGTCTCTCGGCCCACTCCGCTTCCTGTAGTCCCCACTGGCCTGGAGCAGCAAACCGTGGCCAGTGAGAGCTGCGATCGGCCGAACTTGTGGACGCGGCAGGTAAACAAACTGGCCCGCCAGGGGCTTTCCCTGAACAAGCGCCGGCCCTAGTTTGAGAACCACTGGTCTAGTGGAACTACAGGAACAGGTGTTAAGTCTTACCTAACGTAACATCTCTATTAATGATCTCAAACAGAACTAAAATCTAATAAAATTTAGATAGGGTACTTAACTGAAACGTGTTACCAAAAACTAATTATTTAAATAAATATAATAAATTATAATAAATGATAACAAAGAATTAATACAAAGGGACCTTGACCCCGATCAGGCAAGGCACTTAATACCGTGCACTTTAATCTGGTACCAAATAGGTAAAAATATGAACAAGAAAACCGAACAATTTGGAAAATTACAACTTTACTATATTAGGTAGAAAATATACAGAGATATTTAATTGTGGGGAGGAGGGGAACAGGGCCGGCTCTGGCTTTTTTGCCGCCCCAGGCCAGAGCGCCGGGGGCAGGGCGGCAAGCCCCGGCGGGGGCTCGGCTCTCCCCCCCACCCCCGGCGGCCAGAGCGCCAGGGGCAGGGCGGCGAGGCCCGGCTGGGGCTTGGCTCTCCCCCCGGCGGCCAGAGCGCCGGGGGCAGGGCAGCGAGAGGGCGGCGAGCCCTGGCTGGGGCTCGGTTCTCCCCCCGGCGGCCAGAGCGCAGGGTGGCGAGCCCCGGTAGGGGCTCGCCGCTCTCCCCCCGGCGGCCGGGGGAAGGGCGCGGGGGGGGGAGGGCGGCCAGAGCGCCGGGGGGAGGGCGGCGAGCCCGGCTGTGGCCCCGCTCTCCCCGGCGGCCGGAGCGCCGCGCCGCCCCCCTCCAGGTGCCGCCCCAAGCACCAGCTTGGTTGCCTGGTGCCTGGAGCCGGCCCTGGAGGGGAAGAAACCTAAGAAACACCAAAGAGGTACAAAAAAAATTCAGGATACATTTCAGAAAAAATAAAACCTTCCTAACAGTGAAACAGTTTCCCAAGAAAAGTATCTGAAGCCCTATCAATTGGGGCATATAAAACTAAGACTGAACTATACACCACTACATATACCCAAAGGAACAGGTTAGGTGATCTAATAAGTTTGTTGCCTCTCTAATGTCTTTGGTTTTAAGATTCTAGGATCACAGAATAAATTTCTTGAACAATACACAGAGCATTTAAAACTATGGTAACAGATAAACCTTGTAAAGATCATATCAGACTAACTGAAACATGAGAAGAAATATATGACTAATTTGAAAAATAATAAATATTAAGTATGTTGGACTGACTACATATATAGCAATGGAAAATGCAAATGAAAACATCACATTTTATTGAAAATATAAAAAACATGGCTCCATGAATCACTGACCTTTAGGGAAAAAACATCTTTAAGAAATAGTCCCTTGTTTACTCCTTCACTAGTGGTAAGGATTCTATCAGGTGCAGAACTACATAACAGAAGCACATTACCGAAGAACAGAATAAACTCTTATAGATAGGCTTGGCAGAATTTGATTTTTATAATTCTGACAGATAATATTGATGTTTATTTTAAGCATATTTAAATATTTTTATTGATTTTAATTTTCACAGTTGCGGGAAATTATGGGGTCCAGACAATTATTTAATGCCAAATGCTGAGATTCAAAAGTTAAAGCTTTATAACCTTTAAAACACAAATTGTCAACATCACGTCTAAATATACAAAGTAAATATTCTTAAATCAACAAATCATACCTGTTTGTACTAATCCATTTGCTAGTCCATTTGTAACAAGCCTAATTCAAAAGCCTAAATCACTGTTTGTTTTTTTATTCTAATAAAATTTCTCAGGCAGCATTTTTCTTACTTTGGCTATCTGTAAATTTCAATGATCATCAATGGAAATTTTTTTTATCAGTTTAAGTACAAACTTAAGTACAATTAAGTGATATGAACTGATTATTGGAACATAAGGTGTGCCATATGAGAGGCCAGTTGCATATGTGGAAAGTGTACCAAGATACTGCAGGTGCTAGGGAGAAGAAATTTCTGGAATAATTAGGTGCTATGTAGTTTAACAACTTTCAACCATAATTCTGCATTTCCTGGATTGCAAGTGCTTTGATGTGTCAAACTTAACATTACATTATTGTTATGGGAGGGAGGAGGAGATCTGTCATGTACTTTAATCTAAAGAAGTACACATAAACATTATATTGAGAACGAAAGAAAGAGCAAGTCCTGTTTGGCTACAAAAATACATATACACATATGTACAAACTAGAATTCCAATGACAAGGCATTTTTTTCTAGTCCCGATAGCTCATGTGCACCACACTTAAAAAGTTGTCCCTCTGTCGAGAAATGTTATTTTTGGCACTACTCCGAGACTCAATACAGCAAGTCCTGGGCATGAAACCAGTGTAAATTTAAATCCTTGACTGTTTCAGCAGGTTTTGCAAAGCCAGTAAGACTAAGAATCAAAATATGTGGTTTTCTCTAGAGATCACTGTAAGAAACCTGACAGGTTTTATATTGGGTACCTCTCACTGTAGCAGACAATATTTCACCAATGCCACTGAAAAGTTTATTACTTCATTTTCTAATGTTTAGAAACTGCATGCTTTATGTAAGAGCACACTTTCAGTTGATATATGCTGGAGTAAGTAAGTGATTTGCACATAAAACTTTTTGTTAATTAACGTAATTCATGCATCTACTGTGCTTTTAACACTGTTTTCACTAACTAGGTTTAACTTTAAAAGGGGGCAGTTTTACCCATTTGTTTTTATGTAATTTACCTTCACTTGTATCCATCAATCCTTTTGGGGGGGGGGCACTATACAGTTCCTCTTACCATTTAGCACACACCGCTATCTCATTTCACTTTATCTGCAAACACAATCTGTATATAATCCTATCAAGTCCAACTACAAAATCTTCTATCCCCTTTATCTCACTTCTTTATCCCAGGTACAATATTTTTTTTTATCAAACAGGTCACTTGTTTCTACTCTTTAGAAATGCATTAATTAATGCTTAATTATACTTCAGTTAATTAGCAAAGAGATCAGATAATAATGTACCAATCTTCATTGCTGGATTTTTTACATCCCATTCAAAATATATCATTTTATGAAAACATGAGAAAAATTCATACTGTACATGCAATATTGTAAAATAAGTTTCAATTATAGTTCATGTACACTGAAACAATGCATATTTCAAGATCAATGGATGTAGCATAGAAAACTCTACTTTTGTAAGATATTACAAATGTATTTAATCCTTACCTCAATTCCAATTTCAAATCCACCACCAAGGCCAGCTATCCCTATTGCAGAAGGAGAAGACCAACCTGACCCACACAAAATAAGATACATATTACCATTTAACAGTAGTAAGTTCTCCCTTTTACAGAAACTAAAGGTTAACTAATACAATATGAAAAATATTACAAGGCATTGCATTTGACATACAAATTTTCAAACTGAAACCTAAAAAATTACAAAGCTAAATATATTTTTTCTCTTGTTTTTAAAATGTGCCTCAAAATTTTCAGTGCCATCCAAAACTAAGTTTGAAAGTCATGTTTTCAAAGTAAAAACTGCTTTTCAGGAAGGCACCTGAAGAACTGGCAACATCAAGTAGATAGCAAATGAAAACAGTGCTGCCTGGGGACAGTTTGTTCGATAAATAATATTGCAATAGTAAAGAAAAAAATCCAAATTATAAAATTGCATTTCAATAGTTAAAAGGACATAATTACTGAAAAACAACAGTGCACATTGGAAATTTCACTGTAATTCTGATTACCATATCAAAGGGACACTTCAGAGACAGCACCATTTACACTGAAGAACTCTTATTTTAGGCCAACTGTCTGCAATTTTTAAAAATATATTAAGGTGCATGTTTTCAAAAGCATTTTTCAAACATCATATATTTAGATTCAGTTAATCTTTTGGATACCAAGGCTTGTTTCAAAAAGTATCGCAATACTTCACAGAGAACATCAGAGGTTTGAAAATATGAAGGTTTATGTGGTGCATCAATGTAGCTAAACATTTTTGTTCGGTTACTTTTACTAGTGGTCATGTATTTCTGCTAACAGTTACTTCCCATTGCTATGCCTTTGTGTGCTTCACAGCACTTTTATAAACAAACAAAGAATTAGTTCTCACATTTAAACCGACCAACAGAGCAGAAATCTATTGCATACTAAATATCTTCATTAGCTAAGGAACTATTTCATAACACTGTGGTGAGCTACTGCATATTGAATTCCTAATACATATTACTTAATGTTACTTACTGTAATACTTCTACTGGTAAATATTGATTTTAAACACAAACAACTATTTCTAATTATAAATCAACAGAGACAGACAAATAAGCCTTGGTAACTTAGTAACAGTATAGGACCGATGAGTGTCAGAAACACCATCGAACACTCTGAAATATTTTTCACCCAGGGCCATAAACAGGGTGGGGCAAGTGGCAGCCATGCAGGGCGCAAAGTCATAGAGGAGGAAAAATGGGGCAGAAAAATGCCTCCAAAAACAAGCAGGGGGTGCAAATATGATTGCTTACCCCATTCCTAAAATGTCTAGTTACATCTCTGCTTCCACCATTTCAGTGTAGCTCTGCCTCTGATTTAGGATTTTGTCCTTGACAGAATTCTTGGCATTATGTAACTAAGAGTTGAACTAGCCTCTCATCTGAACACAGGTGAAGAAATATTCAGGATATCAAAATGCTTATAGTTTTGACACCCAGTAAGCAGAACCTTTAGTTCAGCACTCATTATAGCTATTTTACAGTTTCTCTTTTGGACAGGATTCCTACCTGCCCCTCAAAAAGTCCCCAAGCCAGTACATTTGGTTATTTGGATGTAAATTGTTGCATTCTGGGTAGCTTTCCCATGCCCGCTGACAGCAATTCCGGGCCCCAGGGCAGAAAAGTCAATTGCCCCCCTAGAAAGGGATGGCTGAGGTTTACAATACTACTTTTTATCCTATTGATAACACATTAGAACCCACTATGCGTAAGTTGTGGTGTTGCTTGACCTAATTATCTTTTTTTTTCCAGTTACAGCACCAGTATTAAATAAACTGTGAAACTAAATGTAAGATGTAGAACTTGTTATTTTGAATTATATATTTAAATTAAATAAATACATTATGAATTAAATTAATCAATATATAAACATTTAAAGAAACACAAAGTAAGAAAACACCTAAAGTATCAACTAGGTGAATTAAACACCTAATTGTGATTCATGTATAATCTAAAGACAAGGAAAAAACTGATATACAAGATGTAACTGAATACGACCAACAAAGTTCAACTATACAATACCTGCACTACTGGTGCTGTGGGACATCAACACCCAGAGCAATGAGGAGATGGCAGGCATGGTGCGGCCACATCTATTGGGAGGCGGCCGGGGCGAAGGCAGAGGGAAAACCCATGCCTCATTCCCTGGCTGAGCGGTGGAGGAGGCGCATCATAATGCGCTTGTGATAGCAGCTGGTCAGCCAGTGATAGAATCAGTGAAAGGGGGGAGAGGGTAGTCCCAGCTGCCTCTTGGCAAATTTAGGATGGCTCGAATGGGTGGCTGAACTTGCTGGCTTGTGTTTGGTGAGGAGCTGCAGCCCTGGGGGAGGAAATCTGGTAGCATAGAGGGAACTTGTTCCTCTTTAAAGTCTCCTCAGCCTGGCAGCCGGAGAGCCAGCACGGCAGGCACAGGGGCTCCTGAGCAGCCAGAGGAGGCAGCAAGCTCCATGCTTCCCAGGCTGCTATTGCTGATGCTCTGACAGACTGCCAGACCAGCAGGGTGCAGCAGCGCTCTAGCAAACTGCTACTGTAACCATGAAGGATGGCGCTCTGTACAGAGCAGCAGCAGCAGGAAACCGGATTTCTTTTTTGTAATCTTAATTTTTATTTAAAAAATACGTTATCTATCCCACCCACACGGGCCCTTTTAAATCACCGGGCTCCTGAGCAATTCACCCCTTTGCCCTCCCTGTCGGCAGGCCTGAGATCTCCTAGAATAATAATCATGCGTGTGAACTCCATAAGTAGTGCTGAAGATTGGCCTGTAAAAGGTTTTCTTCCTAAGGAGTGGTGCAAGGGCTGTGGTGAGACCTTCGAAATCAGTCCACTAAAAAGTAACAAGTTTAAAACTGGATTGTTTTCCCGACACAACATATAAAACTTACCTATGAAACTCATTTTCAAAAGATCACACACAAATAATAATGATAATAATATGTAGATACCCTACTACGTTAAACATATTACAAGAGATATTAACCTTCATGCTTCAAAACAATTCTAAAATTGTTCACTATGGGGATATTACACATTGTTCTGAAGGCTCTAGCACTAGCTATTGTTACACTGCATGTGCATTAGAAAATATCATACTGTTTTCCAGCAAAGATGCTGAAAAACCTAAGTCGAGTCAACAGTAGTGCTTGCAGCAGTACTGCTGCCGGCTCTAGGCACCAGCGCAGCAAGTGCGTGTGAGGGCGGCCGTCAGGTGGCCTTCGGCGGTGTGCCTGCAGGAGGTCCACCGGTCCCGCGGTTTCGGCGGTGGGTATGCCGAAGCTGCGGGACCGGCAGATCACCCGTAGAAACACCACCGAATCCGCGTGACCACGGACCGCCCGCAGGCATGCCGCCCAAGGCCGCCTGACTGCCGTGCTTGGGGCAGCAAAAAACATAGAGCCGCCCCTGAGTGCTGCAATGTTGCTGGAAAACAGAGACAAAATTTTCTAATGTAAAAATCAGCCTTAGAGACAGGCTACTGGACTAGACAGATCGCTGGTTTGATCCAATATGGCATTTCCTATGTTCTAGTTTATTAAAAGAAAAAAAAAAAAAAGGAAGAAAGAAAAATGAATTACACTTATTTTGAAGTTTCCCCTGACGTAGAAAAGGAAGATACACACTCTAATTCTTGGTTTGACTGAGAAAATGTCACCTTACCTCCATTAGGAAGACGTGCTAATACAATCCCGCTGCCTCCTCGAGCAGTTACCAAAAATCCGGCTTTGATAACAGACAAAACTGCAAGGCCTTTAGCTTTAGCTATTACATTGGCTGAAAACAAATATTAATTATTTAAAATTAACATTTTCAAAAGAGCATAAAGAACATACTAAAACACAATCATGACTTAAAAAACAGCCATACATTTAACAATTTTGAATAAGAAAGAGACTGAAATAAATTTATAACAAAAAAGTGAGCTAAATTAGTGAAATACAAAAAGAAATGGAGACTCAACATCCCTGCCTCAATGGATTTTTCAAGTGGAGAATTTTAACAGTAACAGAGTCCACGTTAATCTGTAATCATTTTATAAAAATGATTAACATCCCCATTGTTATTCAATACTTGGGCTAATAATAAAATGACATCAGAAAAGAAAATCTAGTTTTATTATATATCTTTTGGAACACAACTAGTATAAATTTAAAAAAAAAAACCTTGGAATATGGGACAAGGAAGGGAAATTAGAACACAGAGGGGAAAAAAGATAGAGATGGCAGAAAAAAAAGGACAGTGGGAAACAGAGTCAGATGGCTTGATTCTCCTCTTATACCGTTTTATACTGGTTTAACTCCATTTACCTCCATTTTGATTTACAGTAGGGTCATAGGAAAATAATGTACAGAGATTATTTTTAGCCACATAACATATTTTTAGCCACATAACATATCTTAAAAATGTGTATATTAAGGCTACAATTCTGTCTTGAGGATTCTGGTGATATTAACAAACTACTACAGATGTACAGGTTTTAATTACTATATCTGGTCCTCCCGATGTGCCAGTCTATACAGGGCAAATATGGATCCCCAATCCACACCATGCAGATGTTCACCAACATAGCCACTCTTACAGTGACTTTTGCTAATGGGCGGAGGTGGGGTGGGGTGAGGTGGGGTGGGGAATAAGTTGTGAGAAAGATTCAGCACAAAACCCCTGGACAAGAATGAATTTTACCTCTTAAGAGTAAATTCATTTCACAAAAATTATAGCTATAGGGTCCAGGTCTTCATTACATTTGGAGAAAATGCACAATGAATGCAGTAGGTAATCATGAAGACAATGAGAGTTTTGCCCAAGTGAGGTCTGAAGAAGTGAGCCCTTCAATTGCAACAAATTTGTATCCTTACTAACCTGGTATGATCTTATCAGGTCCATTTCTGGAAGTTATTTCTGTAAATTCTCGTAATATTTTAGCTGCCTTTTTTGCTTCTGACTTCAAGTTGGAAGGTATAGGATTATTCACTGTAAAACACAATAGAAAATATATAATGTGACTACTGAAATTATACTCTTGGAGTCACAGTTTAAAAGAGTTCATCCTTTTTTACTGGTTTTTATTTTTAAAGTGACAAGAGCTACCTAACACAATAAACTAATGCAAGCATTTGTATGTAGGAATCCTAAAAAATATACCAACCACCTAATAACAATACAGTAAAGACAAGAAGAAATGGTCTCCACTTTCTCTGTACTTTATGCCACAAGCACTATTCTCTTCCTCAGAAGCCCTTTTTATTAAAAGGCCCTGAAAGTGAACAAATACAGGCTATTGTGGACTAAAGGGCATGCAGGAGCAAAATTCCAAAGGAAAAAGGCTTTCACAAAGAATACCTCGTCAACAGCAACTTCTCTTTTATACCAAGAGGAATCCAGCTGAAAAACCTCTGTAAACTTCAGCTGTGGAAGTGCAACATAGGGAGAGGGACAGCCTCGCAGGAAGGAAGATACTAATTCATTTAGGGTTTTAAATGTCAAACATCAGCATCAGCTCCACTCTGGAAACCTACAAAGTTGCCAATTTTTAATAAGAATGACAATTACATTCAGACCTTTCCATAAGTTAATTAGATTTGTTTCATTTAAGCAACTAATAGACAGAATGTTTGTCACCTGTTTACTAGCAATTATTACTTGTTTATAGCACCCCAAACATATGCTAGGTGCTTAAAAAAAAAAAAAAGTTATCAAATCACTGACCCTACCTAAAAGATTGTAAAATCTTAGGCTCCAATCCTGTAAACACATACTTATGTGAATAACTTTACACATGTGAGTAGTACTGTTGTGTCCACACATCAAGGAGGGCCAGCATTCTTACTCTTTTATCTGCCACAACGGAAAAGCTAGTACTGGTTCTCAAAAATATTGAAGGAAGCAGGAGTATTATGCTACTTTTTCCAACGTGAAATATTCCTGCCTCTCACAATTTCTGCTTTTACTGGCAGAAAATGATCTTAGAACAAGCAATCCTTTGGGCATTAAACCCAGAAAAAGTTTAAACTAAAAGGGAAAAAAAAATCTAATTTGCAGGGCAGTGACTAAGTGAAAAGTTAGCCACTCTAATTAGAGTGCCTAAAATTTTCATTCACTCCTTTGCTCTACATAACTTTTTAACCCATAGCCATAGGGCAACTAGTCAAGCCTTCAATCAACAAGGAAGACACATCAATGATTCTTGAGTAGCACTTCTAAATTGGCCAAACAGTACAAGAAGTGTCCCATTATCACTAAGCCCTACAAGTCTAAGAATGAGATGAGACATTAGGCTGCTTCTGAGAAAAAAAAATAAAAAATCGTAAAGTCCTGATTTTACACACATTTTATGATTTTCAATTAAACACAAGATGTTTCTACATCAAAATTTTCTTCTTATATGACAAAACTTGTGATTATCTGGTCTGATGTCTTCATGTAAGCATCTAATTTTGAAAGATCATCATTCTTCCTTATGAATACACTCAACAGTTTGAGATTATTTCCATCATTGTATGATGCTTCTCGTAGAATCATGTTTATGCCCCAGGCCCATCATTGGACGCAGAGAATACCTACATTTTGTATTAATACCAAAGCCTAAACTCTGAGGTACTTCAGAAAAGTCCACAAGAACCTTTGGCTATTGATTCAGTTTAAGTTTTATGACAAATAAGCCTGCTCTAAAAAATGCTAAAAATATATTTGGTCTGTATTTTAACCTCCCTCTATAGGCAGCATACACTATGGATTTGAAACAAACATTCAACTGTAGATAAATTAGTCAGGAAAGGCTTTGTGCTCTTACTAGAGCTGTCGATTAGTCACAGTGAACTCACGTGATTAACTCAAAAAAATTAATTGCGATTAAAAAAACGGAATCGCGCTTAATGACACTATTAATAGAATACCAATTGACATTTATTAAATATTTCTGGATGTTTTTCTACATTTTCAAATATATCGATTTCAATTACAACACAGAATACAAAGTGTAAAGTGCTCACTTTATATTGTTTTTATTGCAAATATTTGCACTGTAAAAATGATAAACAAAAGAAATAGTATTTTTCAATTCACCTTATACAAGTACTGTAGTGCAATCTCTTTATCATGAAAGTGCAACTTAGAAATGTAGTTTTTTTATTACATAACAGCACTCAAAAACAAAACAATGTAAAACTTTAGCACCTACAAGTCCAATCAGTCCTACTTCTCGTTCAGCCACTCACTAAGAGAAAGAAGTTTGTTTACATTTACAGGAGATAATGCTGCCCACTTCTTAATTACAATGTCACCTGAAAGTGAGAACAGGCATTCGCATAGCACTGTTATAGCTGGCGTCGCAAGATGTTTACGTGCCAGATGCGCTAAAGATTCATATGCCTCTTCATGCTTTGGCCATCGTTCCAGAGGACATGTTTCCATGTTGATGACGCTCATTAAAAAAAATAATGCGCTAATTAAATTTGTGACTTAACGCCTGGGGGGAAAATTTTATGTCTCCTGCTCTGTGTTTTAACCCACATTATACCTTATATTTCATGTTATAGCAGTCTCGAATGATGACCCAGCATGTTGTTCGTTTTAAGAACGCTTTCACTGCAGATTTCACAAAATGCAAAGAAGGTACCAATGTGAGATTTCTAAAGATAGCTACAGCACTCGACCCAAGATTTAAGAATCTGAAGTGTCTTCCAAAATCTGAGAGGGATGAGGTGTGGAGCTTGCTTTCAGAAGTCTTAAAAGAGCAACACTCTGATGCCAAAACTACAGAACCCAAATCCAGGGGCGGCTCTAGCTTTTTTGCCGTCCCAAGCACGGCAGGCAGGCTGCCTTCGGCGGCATGCCTGTGGGAGATCCCCGGTCCCGCGGATTCGGCGGCATGCCTGCAGGAGGTCCGCCGGTCCCGCAGCTTCAGCGTATCTGCTGCCAAATTGCCGCCGAATCCGCAGGACCGGAGAACCTCCCGCAGGCATGTGGCCAAAGGCAGCCTGATGCCACCCCCGCAGGGACCGGCAGGGCGCCCCCCACAGCTTGCCGCCCCAGGCACGCGCCTGGAGCCGCCGCTGCCCAAATCACCAAAAGAGAAAATCAACCTTCTGCTGGTGGCATCTGATTCAGAAGATGAAAATGAACACGCGTCAGTCTGCACTGCTTTGCATCGTTACAGAGCAGAACCCGTCATCAGCATGGATGCATGTCCTCTGGAATGATGGTTGAAGCATCAAGGGACATATGAATCTTTAGTGCATTTAGCATATAAATATCTTGCGACGCCAGCTACAACAGTGCTATGCAAATGCATGTTCTGACTTTCAGGTGACATTGTAAACAAGAAGCAGGAAGCATTATCTTCTGCAAATGTAAATAAACTTGTTTGTCTAATCAATTGGTTGAACAAGAAGTAGGACTGATGGGACTTGTAGGCTCTAAAGTTTTACATTGTTTTATTTTTGAGTGCCATTATGTAATAAAAATAACTACATTTGTAAGTTTGACTTTCATGATAAAGAGATGAACTACAGTACTTGTATTAGGTGAATTGAAAAATACTATTTCTTTTGTTTTTTTACAGTGCAAATATTTGTAATAAAAAATAAATATAAAGTGAGCACTGTACACTGTTTTCTGGGTTGTAATTGAAATCAATATATTTGAAAATGTAGGAAACATCTAAAAATATTTAAATAAATGGTATTCTATTGTTTAACAGCACCATTAATTGTGTGGCTAATCACGAGTAATTTTTTTAATCGCTTGACAGCCCTAGCTCTTGTATTTTTTAATACAATTTTCTTAGTGGTTTCCAATTATTAAAACTTTTTTTTTTTAATTTCTATGAAGAGTTCTACAAAGGTGGGCCCAACCCACCCTTGATTAGAAGGTCTGGTTGTATTTCTATAACTTAGTGGATGAAAAACCTCCTTGAGAAGAGAGGAAGGAAAGTAGGGAATATGATCTATCTTCCATAGAGTGTATGTCTCAGGCCTTGTCTACATGGGAAAGTTTTTTCAATGTATCTTTAGTTTATTCCAGTATAAACTGTCTTGCATCCACATAAGCGATTTTTGTGTGTGTGCTTTATTTTGCATTTTATACCACTATAACTGCTTTGGAAGAGAGAGAACTATTTTGGAATGAGTTATATCATTATAAGAGTTGTACTCCAATTTCAAATGAACTATATCACTTCAGGTAGAATAAAGTTGGAAACACACCACCATCAATGTTCGTAGTGATTTTGGGAGCAAAAGTTCCATTTTTCATTGCACCTAGTTGCTAAAGTTCCTAGCACCATGGACCTCTCTAGACCAACCCCCCACATTAATTTAGTGAACTTGCCATGGTGATCAAACAAGCCTTGAATGATCATGAAAAAATACCTCTTTTTCTGCTGATGAACTCCAAGGCCTGTTTGGGGACTGTATGGGAGGGGAGCATATGGGAGGGGAGCAGGGGGACAGACAAATAGAAGACATGTGTGTCCCATCAGTGGCCCCGATACAATTCCGCAACCCCAAGCATTCACCGGAGATTACTCACAAATTTGTATTGCCAAGCTTTATTATCCAGGGCAGCAACACACATCTCTATGACAACAGTTCCGACAGTTGATTTTCAAAACCAAATGAATTAGCCACCGACTGGTAGCAAACAAAATAGGCAAGCTTCTCTCGGAGCACATGTTTCTCTGCTTTGAGGGAGACTCACACATTGGTGCTCTGTCACCGTAGCACCATGGCGAGCTCTACACACATGCTGAGGAAAGTGACCTTCCACATCCTAAATTGCATGGACATTTTGGTCATCCTATTGCCAATACATCTGGAGCACCTTGTCCATATAAACAACCATCATGATTGTGGTGCTCAGCAGTGCTTCCTCCACGTTGCCTGACAAGAGTTTGAAAATTTGTTCAATTATGAAAGTTTCTACTGCTACCGAGCGAGAAGGAAACAGATGGAGTGAGCACAGGGAAGAATGGACTGAGTGGGAGTTAGGCACTACAGGGAAGTATGCTCTAAATTTAACTGTTAACAAAACAGCAGGTAGGCTAACAAATTAAACCTCTTAAAAACTTAAAATCCTGCCCCTGAAATATCAATACACCACCAAGACAAGGAGGAAACAATCATGGCTAAATGGCAAGGTTTGAGAGCCTATTTGAGCCAAAACAGAAATCCTTCAAGATTTGGAACTCTGACTCTAGTGAAACCAATAAACAGAAGCCTAAATTATAGAAGGCATTAAACAAGAAATTAAAGGGCCAAAATGGAGTTCAAAGAGCAAACAGTTAAAAGTATGTGATCACTGGTGTGGGTGTTGCCTTCCAACATCTTGCTCCTTGTTCCTGTTTTGTTTCCTGGTTCCTGTTCTTGATTAAGGCTGTATGTATGCATAGCATAGGGTGTACAGGTATTAAAGGCCCACTGCTACATATCTGCAGTTCAGACTTACATTTTGTTTAGACTGTTGCTAATCTAACGGGTTCAGGGTTATTACATCTTTTGATTAACAACCTACCTGCAGGTCTTGCTTTTTTTGGGGCGGGGGGCGAGGAGGGGGTTTGGACTGCTATTCTGGGATGCATCAGAGCACAACAGTATGGCAACAAGTGTTTCTAATGTGCAACCTATGCTGCCTGGACATCCTTAGGCTAATGACTAGCCAGACTTTATTCAGAATTTTGAAAACTATGTGCAGATCATGTAACTCTCTGATGCTGCTAGGTTACCCTTGCTGCAGAACTACTTAGGCCATGTTGACATTAATATTTATGATGTACTCCCGGAACCCAAGTCATCCTTTGAGGCATCTGTGCAGTGCCTCAAGTATTTCAGCACTGGAGATTCTGTTCTAATAATAAAAAAGAAAACATTTTTTGAAACTCACCAGCAGCTTAATGAAACCATATGTGAGCTTGCATGTCATTTGTGGAGTTGGCCCAGAATTGGGGATGTTATGATGATATTTTTGTGACTGGCACAACCAATGACCACCTGGGGGACCCGTTAATGACTGAAGATGCTAGAATGGTAACTTTTGATGCTGTGGTTGCTAAGAGCAAGGCATTGGAAAGGGCTCGGGCTGGAAGATTGTGTCTGTCAGACTGCTGCTACCTTTGTGTCTATGCTTAAACCATCAGCTGCTCCTCCTACTTCTGTAGCCCAGTCATATGACACTACTTATTCCTGCTCCATGACCATGGCAGTAAACGTTGCCAAGTCGGCAGTTTCTGGTGTGGTAGTCCGGATCACTTGGCCAATTTCCCTCCCTGCCCAGCTAGCACTGCTATGTGTTGCGCTTGTGGAAAGGAAGGACACTATGCAGCGGTACACTGGTTCACAAAGACAGGAGGCATGAAGTTAGGGTGACCAGATGTCCCAATTTTATAGGGACAATCCCGATTCTTGGGTCTTTTTCTTATATAGTCTGCTATTACCTCCCATCCCAGTCCTGATTTTTCACACTTGCTGTCTGGTCACCCTACATGAAGTGCATGTGAAGCTGCATGAGACCACCTTTACTGGGAT